TGACAGCTTTACTTCTTCTTTTCCGATTTGGACTCTTTTTATTTCTTTTTCTTCTCTGATTGCTGTGGCTAAAACTTTGAAAACTATGTTGAATAATAGTGCTGAGAGTGGCAACCTTGTCTTGTTCCTGATCTTAGTGGAAATGGTTTCAGTTTTTCACCATTGAGAATGATGTTGGCTGTGGGTTTGTCATGTATGGCCTTGATTATGTTGAGGTAAGTTCCCTCTATGCCTACCTTCTGGAGGGTTTTTATCATAAATGGATGTTGAATTTTGTCAAAAGCTTTTTCTGCATCTATTGAGATGATCATATGGTTTTTATCCTTCAATTTGTTAATATGGTGTATCACATTGATTGATTTGCATATACTGAAGAATCCTTGCATCCCTGAGATAAACCCCACTTGATCATGATGTATGATCTTTTTAATGTGCTGTTGGATTCTGTTTGCTAGTATTTTGTTGAGCATTTTTGCATCTATGTGCATCAGTGATATTGGCCTATAGTTTTCTTTCTTTGTGACATCTTTGTCTGGTTTTGGTATCAGGGTGATGGTGGCCTTGTAGAATGAGTTTGGGAGTGAACCCCCCCTCTGCTATATTTTGGAAGAGTTTGAGAAGGATAGGTGTTAGCTCTTCTCTAAATGTTTGATAGAATTCATCTGTGAAGCCATCTGGTCCTGGGCTTTTATTTGTTGGAAGATTTTTAATCACAGTCTCAATTTCAGTGCTTGTGATTGGTATGTTTATATTTTCTATTTCTTCCTGGTTCAGTCTCGGAAAGTTGTGCTTTTCTAAGAATTTGTCCATTTCTTCCAGGTTGTCCATTTTATTGGCATAGAGTTGCTTGTAGTAATCTCTCATGATCCTTTGTATTTCTGCACTGTCAGTTGTTACTTCTCCTTTTTCATTTCTAATTCTATTGATTTGAGTCTTCTCCCTTTTTTTCTTGATGAGTCTGGCTAATGGTTTATCAATTTTGTTTATCTTCTCAAAGAACCAGCTTTTAGTTTGTTTTTTTTTTTTTTAAAGAAGATGTTGGGGGTAGGAGGTTTTTTTTTAGTAATTTATTTATTTATTTTTGCTGTGTTGGGTCTTCGTTTCTGTGCGAGGGCTTTCTCTAGTTGTGGCAAGCGGGGACCACTCTTCATCGCGGTGCATGGGCCTCTCACTATTGCGGCCTCTCTTGTTGCGGAGCGTAGGCTCCAGACGTGCAGGCTCAGTAGTTGTGACTCACGGGCCTAGCTGCTCCGCGGCATATGATATCCTCCCAGACCAGGGCTCGAACCCGTGTCCCCTGTATTAGCAGGCAGATTCTCAACCACTACGCCACCAGGGAAGCCCCAGCTTTTAGTTTTATTGCTCTTTGCTATTGTTTCCTTCAGCTCTTTTTCATTTATTTCTGATCTGATCTTTATGATTTCTTTCCTTCTGCTAACTTTGGGGTTTTTTTGTTCTTCTTTCTCTAATTGCTTTAGGTGTAAGATTAGGTTGTTTATTTGAGATTTTTCTTGTTTCTTGAGGTAGGCTTGTATAGCTGTAAACTTCCCTCTTAGAACTACTTTTGCTGCATCCCATAGGTTTTGGGTCGTCGTGTTTTCATTTTCATTTGTTTCTAGGTATTTTTTGATTTCCTCTTTGATTTCTTCTGTGATCTCTTGGTTATTAAGTAGTGTATTGTTTAGCCTCCATGTGTTTGTATTTTTTACAGATTTTTTTCCTGTAATTGATATATAGTCTCATAGTGTTGTGGTCAGAAAAGATACTTGATACAATTTCAATTTTCTTAAATTTACCAAGGCTTGATTTGTGACCCAAGATATGATCTATCCTGGAGAATGTTCCATGAGCACTTGAGAAGAATGTGTATTCTGTTGTTTTTGGATGGAATGTCCTATAAATATCAATTCAGTATGTCTTGTTTAATGTATCATTTAAAGCTTGTTTATTTTCATTTTGGATGATCTGTCCATTGGTAAAAGTGGGTGTTAGAGTCCCCTACTCTGATTGTGTTACTGTCGATTTCCCCTTTTATGGCTGTTAGCATTTGCCTTATGTATTGAGGTGCTCCTATGTTGGGTGCATAAATATTTACAATTGTTATATCTTCCTCTTGGATTGATCCCTTGATCATTATGTAGTGTCCTTCTTTGTCTCTTATTATAGTCTTTATTTTAAAGTCTATTTTGTCTAATGTGAGAATTGCTACTCCAGCTTTCTTTTGATTTCCATTTCCATGGAATATCTTTTTCCATCCCCTCACTTTCAGTCTGTATGTGTCCCTAGGTCTGAAATGGGTCCCTTGTAGACAGCATATATATGGTTCTTGTTTTTGTATCCATTCAGCCAGTCTATGTCTTTTGGTTGGAGCATTTAATCCATTTACATTTAAGGTAATTATCAATATGTATGTTCCTATTACTATTTTCTTAATTGTTTTGGGTTTGTTATTGTAGGTCTTTTCCTTCTCTTGTGTTTCCTGCCTGGAGAAGTTCCTTTAGCATTTGTTGTAAAGCTGGTTTTGTGGTGCTGAATTCTCTTAGCTTTTGCTTGTCTGTAAAGCTTTTAATTTCTCCATCGAATGTGAATGAGATCCTTGCTGGGTAGAGTAATCTTGGTTGTAGGTTTTTCCCTTTCATCACTTTAAATATGTCTGCCACTCCCTTCTGGTTTGTAGAGTTTCTGCTGAAAGATCAACTGTTAACCTTATGGGGATTCCCTTGTATGTTATTTGTTGTGTTTCCCTTCCTGCTTTTAATATTTTTTCTTTGTATTTAATATTTGATAGTTTGATTAATTTATGTCTTGGCGTGTTTCTCCTTGGATTTATCCTATATGGGACTCTCTGTGCTTCCTGGACTTGATTAAGTATTTCCTTTCCCATATTAGGGAAGTTTTCAACTATAATCTCTTCAAATATTTTCTCAGTCCCTTTCTTTTTCTCTTCTTCTTCTGGGACCCCTATAATTCGAATGTTGGTGTGTTTAATGTTGTCCCAGAGGTCTCTGAGACTGTCCTCAATTCTTTTCATTCTTTTTTCTTTATTCTGCTCTGCAGTAGTTATTTCCACTATTTTATCTTCCAGGTCACTTATCCGTTCTTCTGCCTCAGTTATTCTGCTATTGATTCCTTCTAGAGAATTTTTAATTTCTTTTATTGTGTTGTTCATCATTGTTTGTTTGCTCTTTAGGTCTTCCAGGTCCTTGTTAAACATTTCTTGTATTTTCTCCATTCTATTTCCAAGATTTTGTATCGTCTTTACTGTCATTACTCGAATTATTTTTCAGGTAGACTGCCTATTTCCTCTTCATTTGTTTGGTCTGGTGGGTTTTTGCCTTGCTCCTTCATCTACTGTGTGTTTCTCTGTCTTCTCATTTTGCTTATCTTACTGTGTTTGGAGTCCCCTTTTGCAGGCTGCAGGTTCATAGTTCCCATTGTTTTTGGTGTCTACCCCCAGTGGCTAAGGTTGGTTCAGTGGGTTGTGTAGGCTTCCTGGTGGAGGGGACTAGTGCCTGTGTTCTGGTGGATGAGGCTGGATCTTGTCTTTCTGGTGAGCAGGACTGCATCTGGTGGTGTGTTTTGGGGTGTCTGTGACCTTATTATGATTTTAGGCAGCCTCTCTGCTAATGGGTGGGGTTGTGTTCCTGTCTTGCTAGTTGTTTGGCATAGGGTGTCCAGTGCTGTAGCTTGCTGGTCGTTGAGTGGAGCTGGGTCTTAGCATTGAGATGGAGATCTCTGGGAGAGCTTTCACCATTTGATATTACGTGGAGCCGGGAGGTCTCTGGTGGACCAGTGTCCTGAACTCGGCCCTCCCACCTCAGAGGCACAGGCCTGACACCTGGCCGGAGCACCAAGACCCTGTTAGCCACACGGAATTATCAAGATAGTGGTCACTGGCAAGTGAAACCACAAGAGAAGAGTCCCGTGCTATGCCTGGTCCTGCTGAGCAATTTTCAGACTTCAGCTCATTCTGGCAAGAGGGCAACTGGGTCAGTGAGGCAGGGTGGGGTCCGTTAGGCGGGCGGCCTGAAGGGCCCGGTCGAAGCCCTCGGGGAAGACCAACGGCGGCCCAGACCCTGGCCTCCTGCAGCTGTGGCCTCTTTGGGGTCTCCTTCCCGGCGTCAACTTGCTCTCAGTCCTGCCTTACCCTGAGCTTCTTCACTAGGCGAGCGCTCCCTGAGGTGATGCACAGAAAGCGCGGGCCTAGCTGAAGCGCGAGAGCCTTCAGGGTGGAGCCTTCAGGGTGGAGCCACCTGAAATGCTTTCAGTGTACCTGTATGTGCACATTCCCTGCTTAACAACCGTCAACCCATGTCTCTGTCCCATCCACATGCCACTGCTGCCCTTCTCCATCTTATTTTAAGTCACATTGTCTGTAAATCTTACAAAATGTTTTGCAAAATAGGGCCTCTTTAAAATATACATAACTGCAACGCCATTATCACTTTCCCCAAATATACATTTTTTCCTTGACATATTCAAATATCGAGGAGTCAAATTTGAATAGAACAGAGGTCTAACCATCAAGGAATTCATGGCTAGTGGAACAGATAGACAAGGATGTCAGTGATCATTCTGGAGTAGTCATATGCCCATGTACATATTCTGACCTAAGCATCCCCTGTGTGGGGGAGAGAAAGACAGAGAGCCAGAGAATGACACAAGGGAACTGGAAGGGAAAGGAGAGGAAAACAATTGAAAAATAACAATTTAAATACTCAGAGACGTTTCTCTAGCTTCCTTCCCCCATGAGCATGTGACCAACATAAGTGTGCGTGGAGATGGGAACCCATGTTTCCTTCAGCCAGTCTCATTTCCTAACTGCGATTCAGAATGTGAACATCTCACCACCCTGAATGTAATTTTAGTGTTTAAAGATAAATTTTCTTTAAACAGCATTTATCTCACCTCCTCAACAGGACTGAAAGCTCCTGTAGAGTCAGGGGAATGGGAAGGATCCATTGTCACACAAAATAACCACAGCTGGATTCAATGACTAGACCACACAGGTATCTCTTACGCTACTGGTCCAAGAGTTAAGTTTAAACCTCAGGTCTGGAGCTCTTGTGGTTTTTCTGTTTCATTAACTTGTTTCATCTACTTTTATGGTTACAGGTTCAGTAAGAAGAACAAGGAGAGCATAAATCCTTATACATACATGCCTTTTGGAATTGGACCCCGAAACTGCATTGGCATGAGATTTGCTATCATGAACATGAAACTTGCTCTCGTCAGAATCCTGCAGCACTTCTCCTTCAAACCTTGTAAAGAAACACAGGTCAGTAGTTAATTTTCTGCATGAATAACATTTTATTGGGAGTTCTTTTTTTTAACTGATGGGTCTCTATATATCTAAGCATGTTATCAGTTCAAAGAATAATTTATTCTGTTAGCCAGAGAATCTGTTTGGAGCCATCTGAAATCTTTAATTGTCAATATCCAGGGAGGGCTAAGTCTGTGGCCCACATTCAAGTCCACTGGAATGAAGGGAAGTGTGTGCACAGTCATGAGAGCACACACTGCAAAGTCATGGCTCTTCAGTGATGCTCTTCTCCACCGGAACTTACAGAAGCTCTCCTGGCAGTGGTTCTCAGCCTCTGCTTGTATAATGAAATTGATGGGGAGCTTTAAAAAAAGCCCTGATGCCTAAGTCATCTCAGACTTTCTAAAATAATTCACCTGGAGTGTGGCATTCAAAGCGGCCCCACTGATTCTCCTGTGCAGCCACAGTGAGAACCCCTGATGGAAAGCATTTCTGCCAGATGTGAAGGACTCCCACAGCCCCCTCACCTTCCAGGGGTCCTGCTGCCATCAAGATGGGCTCCCTTTACATTCTAATAATAACTCTATGTGTGCTCTTCCCCACCCCCATTCTATTCTTCCCCCTTCAAGTTCTAGTTCAATCCCAAGCCCCTCCATGAAGCCTTCCCCACCCAGTCCAAAGCCCACTCTCTCCTCTGCTCTGTTATCAGTTACCACAGGCTGGCATCATGGATCCTACCACCTAACTTAACACTTTGCCGTGGAACCATCCAGTTTGGTTCTTATGTTTTCTTTGCCCCTAAGAATACCCTTAACTCTAGCTCCTCATTTTATTTCTTTAATAAACTCCCAATGCTGCCTTGCAGTCATCCGGTAAATGCTTGCAGAGTGACTTTCAGTTGAGTTAGAGTTCTGGAACACAAATTATGTTCAGTTTGAACTTTTAAAATGTAAAAAAAATGACATGTAAGTACATGCTTAGTGTGTGTGTGTCTATTTGTCTGCAGGGGAAATATATGTATGTCATATGAAATTTTAAAATACAAAGTGTTACATGTATAGAAAGATCTGGAATCTCTCCTCTGAGGAGCACAAAGAACAGTTGCCATTGTTCATTCATCTCAAGCATGGCCCTGTAATAAGGCTTATTTCTAGGAGTCAAACATTTAACCAGCAGCTCCTCCCCTTGGGTAGGCTTTCTCAGGGAAGAGGACGATAGAGACGGTTTCCATTTTACTTGTGGGAGTCTGTGTGTCCGTCCTGTAGGTGTGTACAGACAGGGGACTCAGCCCTGAGAGGAATGGGGCCTCTGGCACACCTGGGAAGGGCAGGTGCTCCCTGAAGCTCCACCCAGCCATCCACAGGCTGGGGCTTCTCCCTCCACGACAATTTGCTTGCCCTTCAGTCAACTGAGATTAGAAGGTCACTGTTGGTTCCCCCAACTCTGAAAGGGGCTAAAGGTGAGAAAGGGGCTAAAAGTACTGGAACAAACACTGTGGTCATCAGAAGTTCACCATTTGCACTACACTTGGAGCCAGGAGGTGTTAAGAAACAGACATAATGCTTCACAACGACCTCTTCCCATCATGAAACTGGGTGGATTCTACTGGGAGAGGTGATTGGACGCTTTAGAAGTTGAGGAATGTGCTTACAATTAAAATTGTAATACCTATTCAGGATTACCTTGTAAGTTCCAACATACACAAAATTACCTCTATATCCTTTTCCGAGAAATTTGCCATAATGCCTAAGAATCTGTTATGTTTTTAAAACTCAGTATTTTTGCTTAAAATTTAAATCAATAAAGAACACAGGCCAACCTGATTTTGTATCAAGCCTGGTACAGAATAGGTGCTCAATAGATATTTTGCTGAATGAATGATGGATGAATTTTTTCACCATCCCTCTTAACACAGCTTATAGAATAAATATAAAGAATCAAAGATAGGTAGGGAAAATTGAATGAAGGTGTGCAAAAGGTACAAACTTCCAGTTATAAATAAGTACTAGGGCTATAATGCAAAACATGATGACTATTGTTAATATTTCTGTATGGTATAAGAGAGTAGGTCCTAAGAGTTCTCACAAAGGGAAAATAATATTTATTTTTTTCCTTTCCTATCTATATGGGATGATGAATGTTAACAAAACTGTGGTAATAATTTTGTGATATATGTAAGTCAAATCATTTTGCTGTACACCTTAGATTTATGCACTGCTGTAAGTCAACTATATTGTAATAAAAATGGAAGTTAAATTCTGATAGGACATGAAAAGGGAATACCGTGAACAACTGTATTCCCATATGTTTTATAATATACGTTAAATAGACCAATTCTCTGAAGACACAAACTATTAACATTCAATCAAGAAAATATAGACATCCTGGCTGTCCCTATATCTGTCCCTCTATCTATCAAACATACTGAATCGGTAGTTTAAAAAAATCAAATATACATGATGCTAAAAGTAGCTTTTACATGTTTGTAAAGCATTATTGTCCATAATGTATCTCGTCTACTTTGCTTTTTTTTGTTGGTGGGGCTCCATTAATCGGTTCTCATGTGTTTGTTTAAATGTTGCAGATCCCCCTGAAATTGTTCACTGTAGGACTTACGCAGTTGGAAAAACCTGTTGTTCTAAAGGTTGTGTCAAGAGATGCGACCGTAAGTGGAGCCTGACTTTCTCGAAGGACATGGGCTTTGATCTTCAAGGAAGCTGTATCCAGGAACACCTGAGACTTTACTTACTTTGTGATAAAACTATTAAATGAAGATAGGCTTCACCTACTGCCCTTGATGGACAGTTAGGTATTCTGCCCAATCATTTAGCTTTCTCATTGTCTGTGTGGAGTGTTATATATTGCGTCATTAAAGGAGGTGACAAGTAAGTGCCGGATACTCAACTTCATGGGCTCTCCTAGGACCATCTCCATCCACTTCCTGATGGTAGTTAGTACCATCTACTCCTCCTGAGCACTGATCAGAATGAAAATTTCTCAACAAACTCTAATGAAAATAAGAATGATTGTGGTGACTGAAGTAGTGACATTTATGTCACAGATTTTATTTTGAATATTCTAAATTAAATATTACATTGAGCAAGTCAATAAACATCTCTTTACAAAAGTATAATCTGATGCCTTTGTGCACATTAGGGGGAATGTATACAGCAGAATCAGAGAGACTCAGGGACTAAATGCTTTTGACCATCACAATCCCTGGTGGGTGGGGCCTTTTAAAAACTCCAGGTTGACATATTAAGTAGGTAAGAGTTCACTGACTGTGACTTTTCCCAGTGCTTAGAAAACTGCCTTTTAAATCTACCTTTATAGTTTAAATCTACCTTTTTTGGAGCACATATGTTTTGTTTCTTTTTTAAAATTAATTAATTAATTAATTAATTAATTTAGTTTTGGTTGCGTTCGATCTTCTTTGCTGTGCGTGGGCTTTCTCTAGTAGTGGCGAGCGGGGGCTACTCTTCACTGCAGTGCGCAGGCTTCTCATTGCGTTGGCTTCTCTTGTTGCAGAGCACGGGTTTAGGTGAATGGGCTTCAGTAGCTGCAGAACGCGGCCTCAGTAGTTGCAGAATGCAGGCTCAGTAGTTGTGGCTCGTGGGCTCTAGAGCGCAGGCTCAGTAGTTGTGGCGCACGGGCTTAGTTGCTCCATGTCATCTGGGATCTTCCCGGACCCAGGGCTTGAACCCGTGTCCCCTGCATTGGCAGGCGGGTTCTTAACCACTGCGCCACCAGGTAAGTCCCGGAGCACGTATGTTTTCATACCTCTTTGTATTCCATCCTCGATTCCCAACTGTCTTAATGCAATGAACATGGAATAAAGGTGGCTGATTGGTCAGTTGATTGGGCAGAAAGGCTACAAGCACTGGTCAGTTTCATTTGGTATCAGAAGGGTACAGGGCTCTTCCTTTCCCTTTTCTGCCCCTTCTCTCCCTTTTCCTTCCCCTGCCTTGCCCTCCTGGATAATCCAGCCCTAAACCAGTAAGTGGGACACAGAACGTGGGCAGCCTCACACTGCAGGGCAGGAGCAGAGAAGGGGGCACAGTGACTCCAAGTCAGAGACAAAGTAGGGAATAGAGGGTGTCCACAGGGATGGCAGCCCGGCATGGCTGTGGGAACCCAAAATACCCACTCATAGGGGTGGCCTGTAACAGCAGCCAGAGACTAACTAGGGTGTGGAGAACCCAAGTAGGGTAAGGGGAGGGGGCATCGTGAGTGGAAAGGGATGGATCATGGATTTGGGTACATAAAGGAGGGGTGATCAAGTAAGTAAATATATAAAGGATGGTGGAAGGCAGAATTCTCACTGTTGGAGAAGAGAGTCACTGATTCAGAGAGGGAGAAAACCAGAATAAACCCCGTGGAGTCAGCGATTGAAACTGAATATATCAGTGTAAATCCATGCTTTTCTTTTTTAACTTTTTATTTTATATTGGAGTATAGCTGATCAACAATGTTGTGAGGGCTTCCCTGGTCATGCAGTGGTTAAGAATCCGCCTGCCAATGCAGGGGACATGGGTTCGAGCCCTGGTCTGGGAAGATCCCACATGCACAGGGCAACTAAGCCTGTGCACCACAACTACTGAGCCTGAGCTCTAGAGCCCGCAAGCCACAACTACTGAAGCCCGCGCACCTAGACCCCGTGCTCTGCAACAAGAGAAGCCACCACAGTGAGAAGCCCACACACGGCAACAAAGAGTAGCCCCCGCTCGCCACAACTAGAGAAAGCCCACACAGCAACGAAGACCCAACGCAGCCAAAAATAAATAATAATAATTAAGTCAATAAATATATAAAAACAAAACAAAGCAAAACAAAACAATGTTGTGATAGTTTCAGGTGCACAGCAAAGGGACTCAACCATATATATAATGTATCCATTCTCCCCCAAACTGCCCTCCCATCCAGGCTGCCACATGACAGTGAGCAGAGTTTCCTGTGCTATACAGTAGGTCATTGTTTGTTATCCATTTTAAACATAGCAGTGCATACATGTCAATCCCAAACTCCCTGACTATCCCCCCGCCCTGTAATGATAAGCTTGTTCTCTAAGTCTGTGAGTCTGTTTCTGTTTTGTAAATAGGTTCATTTGTATCATTTCTTTTTAGAGTCTGCTTATAAGGGTTATCATACGATATTTCTCTTTCTCTGTCTGACTTACTTCACTCAGTATGACAATCTCTAGGTCCATCCATGTTGCTGCAAATGGCATTATTTCATTCTTTTTAATGACTGAGTAATATTCCGTTGTATATATGTACCACATCTTTTTTATCCATTCCTCTGTCGATGGAAATAGGTTGCTTCCATGTCCTGGCTATTGTAAATAGTGATGCAGTGAGCACTGGGGTGTATGTATCCTTTTGGGCCATGTTTTTCTCCAGATATATGCCTAGAAGTGGGATTGCAGGGTCATATTAAATCCATGCTTTTCTATGTAGGTAGATGATAGCAGACTGGATGATATAGACAGATAGATAGATAGATAGGTAGATAAATAGATGATAGATAGACAGATGATAGATAGACAGATGACAGAGAGTTACAGATATAGATAGATAGGTATGTGTGTGTGTTTGTGTAGCTACAAAAACACATGACACCTACTGCTTTCCACTGATACAGTGTAGAAACAATAACACCCTAATAGCAATGAGCATACCTTGTGCCCAGATCTTGGATTATAAGTATCATTTCCCACTGAAAGGAATTGGGCTCCTTAGAGAAATGGCTGATTCCAGGGCTGGGAAAGTACATGACGACGATGGACCGTCTTGGGCTAGAAAGCAAGGAACTGTAAACATTGAGGGGGATGTGTCCAAAGGACCCAGAAGCCAGCCTGAGGGGCTTCCACTGCCCAAATCAGAGACCATTTGAGCATTATAATAAATAAGGATAGTAAGAGCTGTTAAGCCATTCAAGAAAATAGGAAAACATGAGTACATACAGATATATGTAAATGAATTAATGGATAAATTGCAATTTGACGAGGAAACTTACATAGCTTCAAAGTAGTGCTGCTCAGAATACCCATTCATTGTAGAGCAGAAGGGGTAACTTCAGAGTGGAGGAACCTGGCAGACAGCCCTTTCCTCATCAGAGAGCAGCATCAGGGATGGGACGACTTGATCGTGCTCTGTCTTGTTTTTTTTCTAAGGAGGTAGCACTACACTGTGACCGTGACCATGACCGAGGAGTGGCTCTGAAGCTGGAGCCCCTGAGTTTAAAATCCCAGGACCGTCCGTCCAGGACTGAGTCTAGACTAATCAGTGGTTTTGGGCAAATCAGACAGGCCCGTCCATTCCTTGCATTGCTTGGCCCACAGAGTTTGGGCTGAATTTCAGTGCTTCTATGCCCCTCCGCTGAATGCCACTGTGCACACATGAGCTCGGGCTCAGCCACTGTCTTGGGTCTGGTTCCGTAAAAGCAGGGCCTGAGGGCTCTGGCACAAATAGTTTACTGAGAGAGTGATCTCAGGGGAAGGGAATGAGGGGAATCTGGGTGGGCAAGGGGAAAAGCTGGGTGAAGATGTGCTCTCTGTGGAGTTTGATTCCACAGGAAGCCTGAAAGAGATTTGTAATACAGAGTAGATCCCACTTGGAGGCACAGGCCAGCCTTTTGTACCCCATCATAGACTGGTCTTCTTATCCCCCAGGAGGCACAGGCTCCCAGGTGAAGTGGCTTCAGTTTGGCCCCGGGAGATTCTCTAGAGAGCAGGGCAGCCTTTAATCAGTAGCAGCCGATACTCCCAGTAACTGGGGGAGGAACGTGCAGCTCAGGGTGAGGGATCTGGTAACTGCCTGGAAGTCCTGGCTGAATTTCATGAATACACCGTGTCTGTAAGGAGGGAATGAACTCTCTTGATTCTTCTTGTTTGTTTATTTTTTCCCTTGGGATCTGTCTTTGCTCGGCCAGCAATGGACTCAAGTTTGGAAACTTTTCAGAAACAATTTTTGCCCCAGGGTAGGAGGAGGAGAGTGGGAGGGACATCACCCCAGGGGACTTTGAGGTCCTACAGAGGTGGGGTGAAGTGGCGCTGGAGGTCCTGCTCTGGGCCCTGAGCTCACACAGCTGGACAGACACCCCCAGCCCCAGTTAGAATCCAGGAAATAATGTCCTGAACATTTATGACTCAGTGTCGCCACACACAGCAGGTGGTAAGAGGAGCCATTTAAACATTAAACATTAAACAAGGAGGAAAGAAATGAAGAGTTCACGTTCAGCAAACCCAACATTTTAATGATTTTTCACTACAGCTTCAGCTCATGTCTCCTCCTCTTGCTGTCAGAAGATACATTCCATAATTTGTGATTACGCTATAATTCTTGTCCTTATTAGCACTAGTTGAACAGTTTATGAGCTCATAAGAGTGAACATTTCTAGAGGGTCTGCTGAGGGTCAGGTATCTGATGGACAAGGTCACATGTTCTCTTCACTCAAAGCCACCAGGAGGCCGACTTGCAGATCAGGCCCCAAAACCTTCAGGTCAGGGACCAGAGTCTGGTCTGATCTGGGCTCCTTGAGGAGGGAAAGACATAATTATGAATGCTCATTTTATAGATTGGGCAACTGAGGTTGAGAGGCTTTAAATAACTCACCCAGCGCCTGATATCAGCCACATTTTGTGGATCCCTGCTAGCCAGCTGTCTACACAACAGGAGCACAGATGTCCCTGGAGTCCATAGGAAGCTAAGGGACCTCCTGGGGCAGGTTCCCATCCATACCTTTTCCTCCCCGCTTTCCCCCTCATTCCCTGGCAAATTCGTACAGATTCTTAACCATTTGGACGTTTTGATTTTGTGGTTCCAAAAAGTCAAAATGTCAGAAATGTTACTGCATTACAGCCACTAGGATGGCTATAAAAAATAATGTAAAAAGCAAGTGTTGGTGAGAATGTGTAGAAATTGGACAGCTCATTCATTGCTGGTGGGGTTGTAAAGTGGTGCGACAATCATGGAAAATGTTTGGCCACTCCTCAGCAAGGAAAGCATAGAATTACCACATGACCCAGCAGCTGCACTCCTGGGGAGATGACAGGATTGGAAACAGTTTCTCAAAACCAGTACATGTATCTTCATGTTCGTTGCCGCACTATCCACAAAAGCAAAAGGTTGG